GCTCAGACTGAATCCATTAATCAGATTAATTGTGTTTAATCAATTATTAAAATACTCATCAACTAATTTAGTAATCATTGACTGGAGTATTTCGACTCAAAAGAAACTATTTGTCAAGAAAACATATTCAGAACAGTAATTATGCCAAAACTTTACAAAAAAATATTTTCACTTTTATTTAAGATAAAAACAACCTTTGATTTAGCCAAAACTCCTCAAGTTGCATGGTTTTAGTTTCACTTGGTTTATGTTTGTTTGTTTTAAAAATGAATTGATTTATTTGCTTATTTGCATCATGGCATGCATTCCTAATATAAGTAGGCTTCAGTGCTTAAATAAAAAATGTGTAGAATGTGCCATTTTTTAAAATATTATTAATAGTCAGGATAATTGATAACTTAAGCAATTACTAAAATATTCATTAGTTGCAGCCATAAAATATGCAAACAGATTTTCAAACAAACAGCAAAGTCACTAATATACAAGTTTTTTATGCTTAAAAGTTGAACAAAATGCAGAAAAACCTTTTCTTCATAAGACCTTTCCTTATCAAGACATTAAGTCACTACCAGATGTGGCTATGCAGCTGTTTTTGATCAGCTGATTACTGATCTGCAAATGTGGCCACCTGAACGAAAGCAAACATTTTGGCAGTTTACTGATCTGGCGCGCTAAAGTGTGTGTCAATAAAATGCCAACCAGGATTTTAGTAATGTTTGAGCAGCTTCTGTGGCTGCCCATCAATCTGGAAATGTTTAAAAGTCCATTTCCAGACTATTTGGAGTCAGTCTGTTAGGCGAGATAAAGATTATTCTAAAAGGGAAAATGTGAAGCTGTTGCAAATCTTTCCTGGATGAAGTTTTAGCCAGTTCACCTGGAGGTCAGAAAATTCAAGCTCATGGAAGTCTGACTGGATAAGCAGTCTCACTTTTTTTGGAGCGGTTGTCAGTAAAACGCCTCTTCTCTCTGAAATGAAGGTGACAGCGCAGACTTGGGGTTGTAAAGTTGCATCAGGACGAACCACAAGGCTTCTCAAACAATTTCCTTTGCACCACGGTGCCTCTAATTCACAGCAGGACAATGAGCTAAAATACAGATGTGAATCCACAAGAAAAAGGCTGCAAAAGAAAAGCATTATTGCATTGGAGAGTAGCCTAATAAATAAATGATGTCACCTTTAAGAACTTCCATAAAGATAAAGCTGTGTTTTGAAAAGTTGAGGAAAATCTCCTCTAACAGTTGGACAGTAACAGCTCTCACACGGATGCCGCCCTGGGTAATCCCCTTCCTCTGCTGCTCCCAGAATATATTGGGAACACAAGGAGATTTTATAGGTCTTAAATTAATAAAAGGTGTTCATGGCAAAAATATGTTAAAAAGACATTTTTTATTTGAAATATAAAAAAGGTTTTATAAAAATCTATCTCATTTCAGGAAGTAGCTCTTGGGAACTGGACTTCAACACTCAGTTCAGCTTTTCAGTTTATTTTTATTCTTAACTAGAGATGATATAATATAGTTTAGACTCCTTATTAATAAATCTCCAGTAAATAACCTTAATCTTTACTGCCAAATAAGTGATCAGATTAGATACAAACTTCAGTGTCGTTAACCAGCCAGTCAACCCCAGTCAGCCATCTTTACTCACCTCATTTTGTGACTTAGGAAAAGAAAAAAATTTAAACTCGTGGCAACAACATAACTCGTTGGAATTACTTAATTACAACAAGTCGTGGCCACAAGTTTTATTTATTTTTTACTCCCATGTCAGACAGGCTCTGTAATGTTGAGATGTTCTATAGGATTTGTTTATACTGTATGTACAGTTCATGTCAACTTGACTGACTGATATACAATTCTTCTTCTGCCCTTAAACAAATCCTCCAGACATGATTTTCAAGAGACTGGGGGACGGAAGATTGTGTGCATCCATTTTAACTTTTTTTTGTAAGTCCATTTTATAGCAAAAATAAAGTTTAATAAAAGTTGTAACTTTGACTACCACTACTTGAAAAAGGTGTAGCAAAATCAGTAACTTTAGGCTGCAACAATAAAAAAAAAAAATGTTGCAGCCTCCTTGAAGGAATGACTTTGGGCCAGATGGACAGAAAGTATTTAAAATTTTCCGAGCATTGATGTCACCCCATAAGGCTGGCGCCCTGGGCAACAAGCCATATTCTCCGTATCCAAAGCCGCCACTTCAGGTCAGAAGATGCTTTCTTCCAAGCTCATAAAGTCGGTTGTAGAGGTTTATAAATTCAGAGTCTACTGTTTTCTCACATGCTGACTTTTAATGTTGACTTAAATAAACGTTGACACAATGATATTTATCGAAGGTTTTATTAATCTAATTTAAGACCCTGATGAGAAACAGATGTTTTTTTAATGATGTGATATTTAGGATCGGAGAGAAAGTATACAAAATTATGCCAGTACAGTTATGAAATCCACTTTATAAAACATGTGTTGTTGATCAAATAATTGAAAACATCTGTGTTGCACAACAGCCAAAAAAACATCTTAAAGAAAGTCAGTACATGTTGTGCCTGCTTTATACTGCAGGTTGTAAAACATATATTTTCATATGCTGTAGGTTTTATTTGCTTCTAATAAAGTAAATAAAAAAAAGAGTTTAATTTATTTTTTCTAATTAGTAATAATCTCCATAGTCTGATTCTGTCAGTAATAAAATATCTGACGTGATCTTCAGTGTGGACCTATAATTTTCTCCTGGTCTCCCACAGTCGGACCCGATGCTGCTAATGCATAGCGTTTTACCTCGACTGACCTCGTCCCTGCTGACAAAGACACCAGAGGAGTGCACTCCACTTATCACGAAGCCCTTTTATTAAATAATAATTGAGTCTCACAAGTTCAGCTGCATTGTTCCCCGAAAACGAACTGTGTATTTGTAAAAGCACTTGGACATGATAGGTTCACAATAGGTTTTCTCATCCCCTCTTATGTGAAGGTATAATGAGAGCTTTGCACTTCTTTGAAGTACATAAAAACTTTGGTGCTTCTCTTCGATTTTAATGACCCAGAATAAATCTCGCAATGCTGAATAAATCACTACTGTACACAAAGAATCAATTGCTTCCACTTGGTTGTACCAAAATGCCCCACCTCCTGCTCTGAGGCTAATGAACGTAGCAGAGTCTGCTTCATACAGGGTCATGGGACGAGCATTGGGTCAGCCGTGGGTCAGCCCTCCAGCTTTAACTGACTGAGGGGAACCCCGTGGAGGAGGGGAGGGAACTGCTAGTGTTTGCCATTGTCTGGCAGAGAGACACCAAAGCAAAGTTTGTCCCAAAAAGGCCTTGCCCTGTCCATGACACGACTCCCAGAGTTTACCCTTTGCTTACCTCTCCTGCCCTCTGTGTGCATCTTGCGCCTGCCGCAAAGAATCTCCAACAAGATCCACCATCTGCAGTTTTAAACCGAGAAATCTGGACCTCAGCCTCCCTATTTCTTATTTGTACAAACCCTAGTTTTTTTCAAAGTAATTGGAAGTGTCTGGAAACTAGCAGTGTTCATTAGTAAAGCATGAAGGTGGCATCATTAAGCACCGGGTCAAGAAAGCTGCCAGTTGGCTGCTTCCTCTATTGTTGCTGAGCCTCCCACTGTCACATGAAGATGGTTAACCTCTGCTTCTGAATCTGTTGGCCGGCTCATACTCGATGGCCTATAGGGACAAGCTCATTAGCACCAATAGCTGCTAACAAACAGGATCCCATTTATGCAACCCTGCAATCTACAATACATCTGAGTAGCAGACCAACAAGTTCAGAGAGGTTGCAGTTTTTTAACACTTTTGTGGGGCGTTCACAACACAGAATGAGAGCCTGAGATGGAAATGAATCCACCTCAGACGCGTTTGTACTCCTTTTTGACAGTCTGTAGGTTTTTCTAACATATTTGTATGTTTGGTGTTTGATTTTGACTGATTTGAGATGATTAAAACTCGTCATAAAACATTTCACCCCTCAGCATTTGCATGGTTGAGGAGCCACAACTGCCTGCAAATATCTAAAATCCGTAAATAATTAAAACTCATTCTAAGACACCTAAGCTGCCTACTGTTATAGTTGTAACCCCAAATACGCATTAACCGTTTTAGTATTGATGTAGAAGCTTTCCATTGTACACAGTCTTAACTACGCTTTTGAGGGATAGAGCCAATCAGTCTCAAGGGACATAAAAGCTGCTGATGGATTGGCAGTTTCAGTCAGAAAGGATTGGACCTACATATTTCAGCTTCCCAAGCTGCATTTCTTTCAATATTTGTACATTGAGGTCTGCGCAGTGGCACAGTTGGTTGTACTGTTGCCTTGCAGCAAGAAGGTCCTGGGTTTGAATCCCAGCCTGGGGGTCTTTATGAATTGATTTTGCATGATCTCAACGCTCAGCTTTCCTCGACCTTAAGAGAACATGGCTCCATGACTTCTGTTAAGTTTAAACTGAGTAAAGAAGAATAATTTTGTAACAATGTCTTTTGGACAGAGGATACCAAATGAAATAAGTTTGACCATGAAGCAGTTGGTATCGGTGTAACTCATGAACCAGTTGACTTACATGTAAGTGTTTGGGGGTGACAGTTAAAAAGCTTAGCAGAAATAAGTGCTTGCAAAGCAACATTGTAAAGAAAGTGGGGCAGTCATAAAGTCAGACAGAATATAATTACTTCAAGTTATTGCTTATAAATGTGGTTCTCCAATCTAGAGAATAATGGGAGATAATTGGTATTTACATTTTGTAGAATAAATATTGATGCTTTATTTGTGTCATTTGTACAGTTGTGGTTGAATACAATCTTAAAGCCTACTACAGACTATATATTTTGAATAATATTCTAACCCTAAAGTTTAAAAATGTATAAACTTTAGTTTCACTTCTGCTGTGCCACTTCTTCCAGTTAGCTTGAACTACAGTGAAGTTTTGAGTTTTTCTACGATGTTACTTCAGTTTTAAAATGTTTTTCCTCATTTGTGTCCCATCAGCATCTGAGCCCAACCTGAAGCGCCGTTCATGGCTGAAGCAGAAAGTGACGGAGCGTCGAAGCAGCCCTCTGCTCCGCAGGAAAGACGGGCCGATCACTACTGCCAAGAAGAGATCGCTCGACATAGCTGGTGAGACACAGCACAGTGCAAGAAACAGGCTTAAGTATTTCTCTAAAAACAACTAATGTGCTTCACATTTATGTTGATTTTTCACAAAAATTAATTTCTTTATTAATTTCTTTTTTTACAAAGCAATTTCCTTTCATGTTGACTTGACTGAACATTATTTCAAAAGAGCACAGCCTTCAAATAATGACGTATTTGTATTATTTTGTAAGTATTACACATATGAGCTTCTACTGTTACATTGAGAAAACTTTCAGCACTAATGCTCTAATTTGAAACGGTTCTAACTTTTAGAGGAACCTCAAAGCTCACTTAAATTGCAGGTCTCATCTCCCAAATTTGCATTTCTTTTTATTCTTTATAACCTTAGAAGAAGATTTTGACATCTTTTGAACAATTCATGCTCTGGTTTTGATTCAAAATGAACAAAATTTCACATAAAAATAGCTGAACAGCTAGAATAGGGCATTCCATAGTGAAGAGAAGATAGGCCTGCTGATAAACTGCGACATAATCGCTTCCTGTGGTTAAGATAGAGAGGAAGAGAATTACAGACACAGTAATTCACTATACCATGAGGATTTATGGGGAGAGAGGCAGTAATACTGCTGTCAGGACACATGAACGGGTTGAGCTGTACGTCTGTGAGCCTCGACAATAACGAGCCTCCTGAATGAGCATCATACAGCTCAGAGGGGTTGGTATGTTTTGTGTCCTTTAGGGAACTTTAGACTATGGGAGATGTGATGGGCATTTCATAGGTAGGAACAGAGAAAACTGCTGTAATTTCAATGGATGCCAGTGTTGCTTTGGTTAGTTGACATGGCAAATACTGTTAGGTTTTATGTATTCTCACACGTCCTCATGTTTCTACCAAAACAGGCAACACAAAGTTTTGGCTCATTTCCAAGAAACAAACAACTGAACAAAATGGAAAAAAATATGGTTTTAATGCTAGTTGAGGGAAAAAATCACAACCCACACATCACCATGCTGTATCAAAGTAGGTTTTTTAGACTTTCCAACATAATTTTTCATTTTATATATATATATATATATATATATATATATATATATATATATATATATATATATATATATATATATATATATATAT